GTCCTGGCCCCACCTCTGGACTTCCTGATGGCACCTGATATTTTTGGCCACTGTGTGACAGAGTGTTGGACAGGATGTGCCATTGGCCTGATCCAACATTGGTTTCTCTTATGTTCTTATGTTCTTATTTATAGTGGGGGAAATAATAGGGCCCTGGACTCACACCTGCTCGTTGAACTTGAAAAGGCCATGATTTTCAGTGGGAGGAAACCTGGCCTTTGGAGGCTGAAAGCTAGGTCTTCTAATTGAAAATAATGGCCCTTTCAAATTTAAAGTGCTGGTATGCCATGTACCAACTGGGGTCAGGGGCCCTTTCTGTCTCTCTTTCTATCCCCACTCTTGCTACGTCTGGGGGGAAGGCACTTGCAAAATTATCATTTTGTATAGGATAGTCAGGAAGGGCATTATTGGGAGCTTTGTTCCACTATTTCCAGAGGTACTTTCCAGAACCATAAGAATGCTCCCATTATGTAATAAATATGATAATAATGCCCTTTATTACTTTCTGATATGGAATTAAAATGATAATTTTGTAAGTGGACAAATTTAGATTTATATTCTACTTGATTAGGAAGCCACTCCAGGCGGCTCACAGGTTTCATATGATCATGTCATAAAATCCCAATGAAAACCTTAAATCATAAACAACCATTCAGTAAAAAAGGTAAGATAAAACAGGCTGACCCTGGATTGGTGAAACAGGTTCATTTGCATTTTTTCAACAAGCCACAAAAGAAACACCTCAATTTGATTATTCTCTTTTTTTAAAGGTTACCCTGGCAGTTGTCTATTTAAGCCTGGCTATGCTTCTGCATATAGAATGATAAATTATAACCATTCAAAATGGGAATTGGCTCTGGGTTAGGCTGAAAAAGCCTGCCAATATGTTTAATTTGATAAGAGCCTCATGCTAGCAATTAGCAGCACCAGTAGCAATTAGCAACACCAGCTTTAGCAATATAATGGAAAGGTCCATTATGCACACCTCCATACTTAAGTAACACATTTCAAACGTGAAACGCAGCTTTCTTTGGAAATCCAAAACCTAGGTTGGTAAAGAGTGAGGAAACAGCTGGTCTTCAAAGGAAAATTTGTATCACCTTTATAGAGTTAATTCATGCTTTTTATTCCCTGTCGGTTTTGGAAATCCCAGTCACACTTTACTCCATGGCTACTTTCTAAATTTATTTTAAAATGCTTGTTTCTTTGTAACTCATGTCTTATAGATGTGCTTAACGCTGGATAAAATGCAAAAAAAATGGGGTTTTTTCCTCGTAAACTGAAAAGTCCTTAGACATACTTGTGATTTCAGCTCTAAGACTTTTATTAGGAAAGAACAAGACAACTTTACCCAGCGCGCAGGCTGGTTTATATCCCTGAAAACCCCACACCCAAAACACACCCCACACAAGTAATTGGCTATTACAGTGGCCAAGAATTCCATAGGCTCTCAGCCAGGAGCGTAGCCCTCTGATTGTAATGGGCTGAAGAACAAATCAGTCAATCCTAAAAGAAATCAACCCTGACTGTTCCCTGGAAGGCCAGATAATGAAACTGAAGCTCAAATACTTTGGCCACCAAATGAGAAGGGAGCACTCACTGGAAAAGACCCTGACGCTGGGAAAGATTGAAGGTCAAAGAAGACGGGGACGGCAAAGGATGAGATGGTTAGACAGTGTCATCTGTTAGCCAAATTGCTCTTTAGGAGAGGCAATTGGAACAGTTTAATAATCGGGATTCAGGTCAAGTGTATACGCAGGATGGGCTAAGTCGTTACTTTTCAATGAAGAGACGAAACAGAGGTTTAAACAATTCTTTCTTTACTGAATATATGCTTCAATCACACAAGAATAATAATAAAAACCACACAGGCATACAAGAACTAAGAAAACACGTTAGATCAGTTTATGGCATGGTTGCTTTAGCAGGAAAATCGTTGGTATCTTGATGAGATATATTTACCTTTGTTGTATGCATAGCTCCTAAACCTTCCAGCCAGAGGTGGAATGGGGGGGGGGAAGTAAATATCAAGGGGTAGAAAGCGTATACGTGAGGGGGGGAACAGACATATAGGGGTAGGAGAAGGGGTGAGGGGAAGGGAGTGAGGGGAAGGGGGTAAGAGAGAGCCAGGTCTCTCTCTGTGTTCTAAGTTTTAAAGCTGCTTGCGAGCAAAAGGGGGTGGGCTCTGGCGGCTTACCAGGTGGCCCTACCCCAAGGGTCAGGGATTGGCTATGGGGTCAATTTCCAATCTATTGATTAACTTGATGGGAGGTGTCTGGGCGGAGGCAGGAGGTACGTGCCAGGTCACCAGTAGCGCTGACGTGGCTGTTGCTATGTGTAATGGACTTCTATTGTTGGTCTGGCACGGGAGGACTTCTATTGTTAAGCTTGTCAGGTGGAGACACTCGGTCTGGGCTAGGCTTGATGAGCTTTGGGGTGGTGATCAACCTTAATGTTTGCATACATAAGGAGCTTAACAACTCCGGAGACCTTGCAGGCTAGGTGATGATCATCCTATGCAGCTGGCATTGTCTTTGCTTGTCCCCTGGTTGAACCCTGTGCTCCACAGTCTCTTCACTAGCCCGCTCTGTGTCAAGCTTATGTTCATAAGCATAACTCATAACATAGTCCAAAATGGATGCCTCTGGTAACACATAGATTAACAACAACAACAACAAAGAATCTGCTAAACCCATTGTTCCTCATAGCGAAGCTCTGAGGTTTATCTTGACCGCATGGAGCCTTTGTGTGCCATGTGGTCAGCGATGGATACACTACATAAACATTGCATTTCTAGTATATGGACAGTTAATTCAAATAATCTAGTAGTACAAGTGGACCCTGCAACAAAATGTTGTGGACTCTGTTGTGGATAGTTTTCATTAGTACTGTAGTTGGGGGGGGGTCTCTTTTCTATGCTCCTTTTGGCATTGTTATGTTTTAGAAACCTGCTTATGCTGTTCCTGGCAGCATAAGCTGGCTCTCAGGTACAACTAAGTATTCAATGCAGTCTTCACTCATTTAACATCAACTTTATTCAACTCTTCAGCATTCAAAGGTTCAGTTTTATTCACATTCTCTTTTCATAGAGCTATTAGGAGCCTTAAAGTCCTGAATCCTTTGAGTAATTCATGTGGTAAAAGGAGCTGAATTTCTCCCATCTTGTTAGCTCTGAGATCACAAACATACACTGGGAGGAGGAGGGTAAAAAACATCTTTCCCCTGGCAAATGTATCAACCGAAAAAGGAGGCTGTATAGAGCCAATCAGGAAGGCTACACCTAACCAGCTGACCTTAAGGCTATTAAAACTACATTTCCCACAATCCTTTATAAATTTAAAGATACAGTGCAATTTGCTATGCTTTACTATTCTAATCTCTGCTGGGGCAGCACACTGCTTAATTTTTCACAGGGCTGTCCCCTGGTTTTAGTGTTGCTCGTAATCTAATCAAATGGGAGGGGGTACAGATTTTTCTTTAAAAAACTGTTCTCAGCAGCCTGTGGCTGGAGGAAGGAGGCAACTCTGTGAGAGCCTTATGAGTGGAGGGCAAAGGAAGGCAGTAAAGCTTGGAGTCAGTCTTTTTTCATTTTCTCATTTATAATGGTTTGCTCCTTTACCTTGGGCACAATCAGGATGGGATCACAGTCACTGTGTTTATGTGAGGGGAGGGATAAATGTTTTGAAGTGTGCCTCGCTCACTCCTGCAATGAGAGGATTTGGGGTGAACATGTGCTCCCTCTCCTCTCCTACCCACCACCATTTGTCTGCCTTCACTTCCTGTCAAAGGAAGGAGAAAGCCACGCTGCTTCTTCCTTGTTCTGGCCACCGCCACTACCTTTCTGCTGGGCAGCAAGCACCAGCGATCCAGCCCCTCTTTTCTTTTCTTTTTTCTTTATTTATTTTATAAAACACACATAACATACAAACATACCATTTCATTTTTTTATTTCAAACAATTCCAGTTCTTCAAAACCAAAAATACTTTAAAGAACTTGACAAATTGATTTCACAATTTATATGGCAAAACAAGAAACCAAGACTAAAAATGAAAGCTTTGATCCTCTTTTCTTGACCTCCAGTTCTGCTTGCTCACATACCTGCCTGTCGTTTCTTTCCCTTTTTGCCCACCACAGCTTCCTGAGAGCTATTTCTGTTGTCTGCTGCTGTGCAGATGATTCCCACGTTTGGGATTTTTTAACCCCCGCACCCATTTTTCCCAATTTAGGATTTTTCTGGAAGCCTGGGGCGTCCCCCTAGTTTGCTGGAAAAGCTTATTGCTGTGTAAATCACCCTGATCCACAGATTTAGGTATCTGCAAGTAGGGGCATAGTTGGCTATTCTATATCTAATAGAAAACAAATGCACCTTTAAATATGATTTTTCAGTAGGATCTTCAGTATGTCCATCACTGGCTGCAATCCACCATTTTGCTATAGACTGGCTTGTCCTACATTTAAAAAAAAAACGGATTGCTATATCTTCAGTTTTATTATACCACTTCCGTATTCATAATTTAAACAGCTATAATATCTGTACACCCTTGCTAATAAAAGGTGAGGTTTATAAGATCATAAAATCATAAAATGTTAACTTTCAAGCATGCATCATGTGGATCGGGGTGATATCAAAATACTGCTGTAAGGTTTTTTAAAAATTGTGAAAGCAACTCATGATTTTGAATGGCAAATAGATGGTTATCAGTTGCTTCAAGATACATAGAGGCTAACCACACATCACATGCAAATACATGTAACTGAGCCCCAATTCTATTTCTTTTTAATTAAAACAAACAACTTTAGGAAAGGGACATTTGAATGGAGAAACAATGGGGGGACTGTTTCCCCATTCTAAATTATTTCCATGGCTTTTACCATCATGGGCTTTGAAAAACTAGGTCAAGGACATCTTTAGAACCCAGGGCAGGAGAGGGGGCAACCATGTGGGAAGGCAATTAGAACTGCAGACAATGACCCCCTGCTACTCCACTTTAAATTCCTCTCTTCCAAAGCTACTTTTCACTTTGAAAAGGGTGTCAGTTACACACATTAAAGGTAATGTATGATTACCCTGTGGTCTAATAGAAAGTTCAGTCAAGGCCAAATACTTGTTTAGGTCATTTGAAGTTGTTAAGACCAAACTGTTTAAAAAGCACATATGAATTATGCACAGGCATGCAAATAATATCCTGAATATAACGAACATTGCATTTTAACATATTCCCACCAGGCCTATGTCAACCTGCTCTTCTGGTACCAATTCTTCTGTGCTTTCTCGGGGGCCGCCATGATAGACTACTGGCAAATGATCTTTTTCAATTTGTTTTTCACTTCTGTGCCACCCATCCTTTCTGGAGTCCTGGATAAAGATATTTCTGCAGAAACTCTATTAAGTTTGCCTGAGCTGTACAAGAGTGGACGAAATTCAGAGGTATACCTTTCTTGTTCAAATGTGTTTTATGGGTTCCTGCAAGCCTGAAATCACGACCTTTGAAATTATCCCAATGTGAAATGTTCTTCATAAAGTAGATGCCATGGATATCTGTGGCTCTGTCTGTGCTGTACTAGCTTTATAAAGTGGTCTCACAAGGCTCGAAGTATACATTTTCTGGAGTTTCATGATCCTTTCCTCTGTTTTTTTAAACCCAAAGCAGCTGGACAGGAAAAAGAATGGAGGGGAGAGAGACTTCTTGACTATTTCTCCTCTGGAAAGCCATGTCTTTCAACCAATAGGAGAAAAAGAGATGGTTTTGAGCAGGGCTTTTCTTTTTCTTTTTTTAAGAGGTGCTGGAACTCTCAAGAGGGGAATTAAGTTTTCAATCTGTATACTGAAAACTCATGAACTTTTAAACATTTTAAAAAGAATTTTGCCAGAGAGGTTATGGAACTCAGTTCTGGTGCATTCCCCCCGGAAAAAGGCCCTGGTTTTGAGCTCAGAAATTACCGGGGGGGGGGGGTTAAGCAATTTTTTCCAGGGTGCCCTTCCACCAGTCTTCAGGGACCCTTCCTCCAGCCCAAATACACTTTGCCCAGGTTGGTCTGAATCTTAACAAGCACAGAGGAAAGCATCTTCAGTGTATAGTTGCATCTCACCTACATATAAAAGTATACCATTTGGGTGGCTTGTCTAGTACTGGGAGAAGAAACACAATAAGATCAAAAGATATTAACAAAACAATGAAATTATCAGAGGCATTTTAGAAAGCAAATCATATATGCTGCTGTTCTGCAGTTTCAGTTATAACTCTAATTATTTGGGAAACCTTTGTTGTTATCATTTTCCTATATATAATACTTACAGTATGCAAAGCTCTTTACAGTTCTTCATTCCTTTGCCCTCACAATACCCCCTTTTTACACATGGAGTACCGAAGCTCAGATGGTTACCGGTTCAAGAACAACTCAACAAGTTTACGTCTGAATGTTGTACTGAATATCTGTTTTCCCAGATCTGTGTCCAACACTGTTCAAATTATGAATATTTGGCAGGCTTTGATCCACATCTGATACACAGATAATTACCAGTTGGCACAACACTCAACTTTGCTCTTGCCAGTAAAAGGAAACTTTTTGCAATTTTCTACTCACTGTAGGCTTCATGAGGGAAATAAAACTGTGACTCCCTTCACAGGATATACAGCATGCTTGAGCTCTCATCTTGAGATTGAGAAACACACAGTAACGATCAATGTGCAGTTTGTTTTATCCCTGATGGCAGTAAGGGCCTATCATTCGGTGGCTCCAGTGAACATATGAAGCTGCCTTCCCTTGATCCACTTAGTGTGACTGGCAGTAAGTCTGGAGGGTCTCAGGAAGAGGAAGTTCTTCCCCCAGCATCTGCAAAGCCTTTCATTGGAGATGCCAGGAGCTGAACTCTCCGCATTGAAAACACATGCTCTGTTACTGAGCCCAGTCCCTACCCTATGCACTTGTACAGGTACACAGATAGGGTTCACAGTGTCTGCCTCCTGCCCGGTTCTACAGATAAAACTTGAGTACCACTGGGTGCCTGCTGTTCAAGGACACTGGGGTGGCACAGGTACATGGATAGCTGCTGACTGGCCAGCTGCCCTTCTTTCAAATTACAGTGCTACCTCTTGAAGCTGCAGGAAAGACAGCAGACATGCAGAACCTAGGAAAGCTGTGAAGGGAACCTATAGATTCTCACTCCCAGGATTGGTCTCAGTCTTTCAGCGAAAAAAGAGAGGAAAGACTTCTGGAGGAAACTACAAAAGGTACTGAGTACCAGAGTCCACACAAAATGAAAAATACTTAACTGTGTGCAAGCCAAATATTATTATAGTATATACAGTGCAAACAGTACAGTGCAATTAGTAAAAACAGTCCCTGTATACAGTACATGATAAAGTGAGGTATGACCATAAGGGTATAAAAATTCAGTACATGATGCCTTAAATTATGACAGTAAAGTATAATATTTGACACTGTTTTGATATCTTCATCAGAATTTTTTTCTGTTACAGTCCCGTTGCAATCCCATTGAAGTATAGCCTTGTACGTTGTAGACTGTCTGTAAAAAGACAACAGTCAAAACATCTTCAAGTATGATGCAACATCTAAGTGGACATATTTACAGCAGAAAAAATGGCACTCACTATTTATATCAATCAAGCATCGAGGAGGGGGGGCATTTAAGTCATATCTGTAAAACATAAAGTATAAATCAGTTGGCAGAAACAACAGTACAAAGAAGAAACAAAGGATGCCACAAAAAGAAATTAAAGAGCTAACACTTAGAATTCCAAAAATAACTGTGATCTGATTTCTCATGTACAGTTCTGATCATCTTTCATGTACAGCTCTGATAACAAAGAGGCCAAGATAAATGAGAAATGCCTCAGTTCCACTTAAATGTGAGCTGAGGAGCCATTTTTTTAAAAAAAAATGTTTATTTTTAAAAAACCTAAATTTTAAAGGTAGTGCAGACATGTAAAATTGTCATGACATGAAAAAGAATAAAAAGGCCCAATGTAATATTCTTGTGGTGACATGTAAGTAGGAGGAAAATGCCCCTACTCCCTGTGCCCTGCCCTGGGCAGTCCCTCTGGCCAATCTAGAATCATAGAATCACAGAGTTGGAAGGGGCCATACAGGCCATCTAGTCCAACACCCTGCTGAATGCAGAATCAGCCTAGAGTATCCCTGACAAGTGTTAAAGACTGCCAGTGAGGGGGAGCTCACCGCCTCCCTAGGTAGCTGATTCCACTGTTGAACAACTCTTACTGTAAAAAAATTTCTTAAGATCCAGCCGGTACCTTCCCACCCTCAATTTAAATGCATTATTGCAAATCCTATCCTCTGCTGCCAATAGGGACAGCTCCCTGCCCTCCTCTAGGTGACAGCATTTCAAATACTTAAAGAGAGCAGTCATAACCCCTCTCAACCTTCTCTTCTCCAGACTGAACATTCCCAAGTCACTCAGCCTTTCCTAATAGGGCTTGGTCTCCAGGCCCCTGATCATCCTCATCACTCTCCTCTGCACCCATTCCATTCTGTCCACATTCTTTTTGAAGTGAGGCCTCCAGAACTGCACACAATACACCAGGTGTGGCCTAACCAATTCAGTGTACAGCAGGACCATGACATCTTGTGATTTGGAAGTTATGCCTCTGTTGATGTACCCCAAGATCTCATTAGCCTTTTTTGTTGCTGCATCACACTATCTGCGTATATTTAACTTATGGTCCACCCGTACCCCAAGATCTTGTTCACACACACTGCTACCCTCTGAACAGCTTAGTGCTAAATGATCATTTATTACTTACTCAGCAAGAAAAATTAGATTATGAGCAAAGAATTTGCAAGGGCAGCTATGGGTGATAGATCTTAGGCTGTGGTCACACGGCAAGGGTAATCACGGTTTGTTCCTACTATACATTTAATCGGGATTTTTTTTCTGGGTTGGGATGATCATACATCCCTCCCCAAACCGCAAGCATTGCGCGAGAAGGCTCTGGCACCGACTAGATGCAGCTGGCCCCTCTTTCCGCTGCCCGCTCGCATGCCAGCCCACCCGGGCGGCCCAGGAGGCAGGTTGTGTGAAAGAGCAAAAAGGCTCACAATTGGAAGGGAAAATCAGACTGGATGCTGAGTCCTCAACGGCGCACAAACTGCTGCTGCTGCCTCCTCGCACTCCCTATGATGCCCCTGTCTCCTCTCCACCTTCCCTCCCTTCCAAAGCCCGCAGCAGCCATTGTCGCCTCGCCTGCCAGCCAACCCGGCACTTCCTGAATCTCTCCCGGCAGGGGGGAAAGCCAGGCGAAGACCAACAGCCCCGAGATCCCAGCAGGGTCTGCTCCACAGAAGCCCTCCCCCCTCCACAGCCGCTGCCAAACCCAAGGGCGCACAAAACCACCACCGCTTCCTCGCGCTCCCTGTGCTGCCACCGCCTCCTCTTCCACCTTCCCTCCCTTCCGAAGCCTGCAGCAGCAGCAAGCAGCCGTTGTCACCTGGAGCGCCTTTGCACAGGACTTTGCTCATCCGCCCAGCCCATCCGTGTGCCTGAATGCCCATGTGCTCAAAGGCAGAAGCCTGGGGGGGGGGAATCTCATAGCGGGGAAGAACGGTCAGATGGCCCTAATCATAACCATTGTGATACATGGCTGTCCAGATCGGCGAAATTGCGGATTTAAAGCGGAAGTACCCAGAAAATACTTGATTTTCTCGGGGGCAGGAAAAACTGGGAGCATTGCGGGAGTGAGCCTGCTTCGGCGCGGGAGGCGGATTGGCACATGTGAATGAAAAATTTAAATGCGAGAGGGAACAGCGGCAAACCCCGATCAAAAGGACCGTGTGACCGCACCCTTAGTGTGCATTACCTAGTGCACTATTGGCATTAAACAAATTATAGTAATGGTGGTGTTGATGTTAGGATAGAGGTTGTTGAATATGCAAACTTCACAAGTCTGCTTTGCCACTGTTTCTGTGTCAGCTTTGATCCAATCCCACATTGTCAGGAGTCAGTAGATAACATCCATATCCAAGCATAGCCACATAGAAAGTACATTCCTCCTACTCCTTCAGTCCTTGGAGGAGATTGCTAAAATAGGAGTGAGAAGATTAGGATAGCATAACTATAATGATGAGCTGTAAAATACCAATAATGTAAAATGGTGCAAGTCCCCTGAAAATCACTGTTTTCTTTGTGTCATAATTTGCTTACAGATATACACGCCACTGACATTTTGTGTTGCCATTTTGGAGGCTTTCTACCAGAGTCTCATCTGCTTCTTTGTCCCTTATTTAGTAAGTATTTAAGGCATTTCCTAAACTGGATTTGATCCAGCATTACTCATCAGCCAGCATAAGAGCACTTATGTTAGCAGAACAGTACTTCTGTTGGCAGAGAGAGGTGCTGCCAATTCCCCCTTTCCATTGCAGCCCCTCCACTTCATGCTGTTCACGAGGGAGGTGGGAAAGTGTCACAATATTTTAGATCCAAGCCACTGTCTTTTATGAAGGCAAAATCATCTGTAGTCAAGTCAATATGTCTATGTTTGCTCCTACTTTTCAGGTGTATTATGATTCTGATATTGGTGTTTTCACATTTGGGACAACCGTCAACACTGTCTCCCTCTTTACCATTCTGTTTCACCAAGCTTTAGAAATTAAAACTTGGGTATGTATATGAAGCTCTTGACTTGTTATGGTATCTTTACCTGCTTTTTGAAGTGGCTGTTCCAATTATTTCTCCATACTAGAGTAGCAGAATACCACAGAGAACACAAATAAACAGCATAGAATTCCTCAAAAAATAAACCTTCTACAAGAAAACTTATCTGTAGTCTTAGGATCTGTTGTAATTCTTGGAGAACTCCAGGCTCCGACTTGAGGTTGGTAACCCTTGCCTGGACCCAAGCCAACTGGCCCTTCCTGGTAAGTTAAACAGCCACTCTACCCCTGCTGCTAAACCCTGAGGTCTACCGGTAAAACAAGACAGAAAAGAGGTCCCTATCTCCCTTTTGTAGACTCACGGCCCAAAGAAGTGGAGCCGTATTATGTGCAATTTGCATAATATAGTCTCTGGGTAAATTTCCATAACTCGAATTTCCTCATTTTATATATTTTTTTTCAAGTTTCATTGAGCAAATGGTTCCAACAACATAGAGACAGTGTCAGGATCCTGGTTAAATCAGTTCTCAACACCAGTCGCTTCAAAGAAAGCTAACTTTATAGATACCATACTGGACACGAGTCATGACCTATTGTTAGGACTGAAGTTGAACAGGCAAAGGTTACAGATATAGTGTGTTCAAGTAAAGGCACTAAAGATCAGGACCCAATCACTCCCACGGTATTTGCCTGCCAGAATTGTTAGCTGCCCCCCCCATTAAGCACGTACCTCTCCCAGCGCATCCCTCCCACCAAACTAACAGTTGCCAAAAAAAACAAAACCCAGACATGTAGCCTCTACGTAGCAAGAAAAACAGAATAACAGACATTTGAGAAGTCAGGGCATTTGGCCTCACTAAGGTGACAAGCCTCTGGCACATCAAAGAAAGAGGAACTTCCTCTCTCAATGGCAGGCGAGCTGTAAAATGCATAAGGAGCCTGACATACTGCCCCCCGAAGACCTCTTTCCCCTTCAGTTTGTGAGGGTATTTGTTGTAGAATGCACGCATTAGAGAGGGGGCTCTAATGTGTACATTTCACCCACTCATTATGAGATTCATCAAAGTCCTTCCGTTTGATTAAATAGTACAGTTGGTTCCATCTTAACTTAGAATCAAGGATCTCTTCTACTTTGTGGCTGGATTCACCATCTATCATCAGAGGAGGTGGCGAAGCTGGACGAGGTTTCCACTTCTTCTGGCCCAGATCCCTTTTTAGCAGACTGAAATGAAATACAGGGTGCATATGCCTCAGAGTCTTGGGTAACTCAAGTTCTACAGCCACTTTGTTCAAGACTTTCAACACTTTGAATGGGCCAATATACTTCCACCCCAATTTCCTTCCCCGGCTGGATCCCCTTCAAATTTTTTGTTGAGAGGTACACTGAGTCTCCAGGCTGTAAGACTCATTCAGGAGCCCTCCCTTTATCAGCTTTTTTGTAGTCTTCTACCTTTCTCAGAGTCTCTTGGATTGTGGACCATCGATGCTTTAGGTTCCCCCACCACGATCGCAAATCTCCCAGTTTGGGCTCCTGGGTAGTCACCGTGGGGAGGGGGGGCCCTTCATACCCGTGCACACCTTAAAAGGCCAGTGGAAATGGGTACTGAGTTATTATAACTGTATTCCGCATAAGGGAAGAGGTTGACCCAGTTGTCCTCCTGGTAATTGGTGAAGCACGGGTGGAATTGTTCTACCACTTGATTCACCCTCTCAGTTTGCCTGTCCATCTCTGGGTAATAGGAGCTGCTGAGACCTTGTTCAACCCCCAACACCTGCAACAGCTCCTTCCAAAATTTAGCAAGGAACTGTGATCCCCTGTCCGAAATGATCTTGCGAGGAATGGAATGCAGCCTCACAATGTGGTGCATGAACACCTTGGCTAGTGACTTGGCCAAGGGCAATTGTGCAAGGAATAAAGTGTGCCTGCTTGGGGAACATGTCGACCACCACCCAAATCACTGTTTTACCTTTACTAGGTGGTAAGTCAGTTATAAAGTCCATTGAAATCACTGCCCGTGGTCTCCCTGGCGTTTCAAGGGGTTGTAATATCCCAGGAGGCTTTCCTGGCCTCTGTTTCCCCATTAGGCAGGTCTGACAGGAACCCACATATTAGCGAACCTAAATGATTGGAGTTGGTGCTGGGTTCAAGGAGCCTCCCACCTCACCACATCCTGTACTTTATGGGGGTCCATGCCCAGTCCCTTCCCTGAATTCTGATAGCCCAGGAAATCCAGTTCCTCCTTATGAAACTCACACTTGGAGATCTTGACAAAGAGCCGGTGCTTGTAAAAGGTTTGGAGCACCTCCCTGACCAACTTTACATGTAAGTCATTATCTTTTGAATAGAGTAAGATATCATTGAGATACACTAGCGCCCCCTTGAATAAATGCTTGTGCAACACTTCATTGATTAAGTTCATAAAAACCCCAGGAGCTCCCGCTAACCCAAATGAGCAGTTTCTGTCCAAGCTCTCTCAGCCCCACCTACCCCACAGGGTGTCTCGGGTCCAGAGCCACCACCGAGGTGGGCTCAGCCCAAGTGTGCAGCGGCACCCAGGAGTCTCGGGTCCACGCCCCACTTTCTGCTCCTTTTGAATCCGCTGTTGCCCCCGGGACCGCCGTGGTCCCTTGCTCAGGCACGGCGCTATTCACCGCAGTTGTAGGAACTTCCCCGTCCTCTCCACTCATCATGGTTGTGGTGCAGGAGGTTGAGAAGGGAAAAGGACAGTCCTAACAATGTCAGGATCCTGGTTAAATCAGTTCTCAACACCAGTCGCTTCAAAGAAAGCTAACTTTATTGAGACTTTGATAGATACCATACTGGACACGAGCTATTGTTAGGACTGAAGTTGAACACGCAAAGGTTACAGATATAGTGTGTTCAAGTAAAGGCACTAAAGATAAGGACCCAATCCCCCATGATATTTGACCACCAGAATTAACAGTCAACTACCCCCCCCACCAAGCACATACCCCTCCCAAAGCATCCCTCCCACCGGAATTAACAGCCTTCTACCTTCCCCCCAGTAACGTAGCCTCTGCTGCAAGCATAAGCCAGGTGACAGAGTTTAAACAATTTATTCACTTCTTAGCCAAGTATTCTTACACATCTGGCATCACATTTAAATTGGGTATCAGAGATTATTGATCCAAATCCTCAACTCCTACTTTCCCCATACCCCATCTGTGGCAAGGACTCCATTCACAACCTACTTTTCACAGTGGGTCTGATTACTTGAAGATAGCCCCACTGGGAGTAGTGACTCAAGGGGTTCACTTCTGACTTGGAGAATTTCCTGAGGTAACTGTGCTTCTGGGGAAATAGCAGGAATAGTGTCTGAGACAACAGTCTTTAAAGGGCTATGAGTTCAAAAGAATCCTCTCCAAAGGAAGTTGCAGTGCACATAGGGGAAAGGTTTCTTCTTGGATGGTGTTGAAAGCACATCTTCTGGTTTTGTTGTTTCCCTCATCTGCCGTGCCCACAGGAATGTGTACTGGTGAAGATGCAGAAGCACATGTACAATGAAAACTAGATATGCAGCATGTACCCTTGCTTCCCAGTCAAAACTCCATGCAGACTTGCCTATAGTATGCTGTTTCTTCTTTCCCCCAATTTGTCACTCTCTTGTGATTTCTGACTAACTTTAGAAGGGAAGCCTAAATTCCTTGACAACCCGCATTCTTTCATGTAGTCACAAGTTTTTCTGTAGCTCAGGAAAACAGAGTCTGTGTGCCTTCACTGGAATATAAAGGCTTTGTTATTGTGCTGTGTAACACAGTTCTTTGATAGGCAGCCCTTGGCCCTTTCAAAGAAAAGTGTTCTCTGTGCTTTCCTCTCCAGTGCTGGAATATGGAGGCTGCTAGCTTTAAGGTCTTGAAACATTTCCCACCTGTCACCATGCAGAGGTAAAGAGTCTGCTCCTCACCTCCACCCTCATTGTCTGTAGGGTCAACAGGAAGAATCTCCATTCTATTTGAGTAGATTATTCCCACTACTTGAGGGCAGCTTCACTTCGTTTCTATAGTATTGTGCTCCTTATGGTTTCTTTATTTGCAGAATGAGAAATCACTTTCTCTGCTGGCAAACAGTTGTTCAGAATGGGCTACCCAGAAGTCTCTGTGGGGTAGAAGTAGAACAGATGGCATACAGGAGCTGTGTGAGGTCCACCATGGCTCTCACAATTTTCCAGCTGTCATTTGTGTATGGAAGACAGGCTGGAGTGGAAGATCCTACCAGGGATTTGGCTGCAATTGGTTTCCCTTCTCCCATATCACAGGGAAGGAGAGAGCTGGGCAGTGAACTACCCCCACTGTAATCTTCACCTGTAGGGGATGGAGATAGGAAAGGGAAAGAACTGAAATCCAGTTCTTCTGAAGATTGGCAAGATACTAGATTGGTATCTGCTGACGCAAGGAGGAGGAAAGGTGATCTTGTCCAGTTCCCTCCTTCACTTTAGCCCCATCCCACATGGGTTTGTGTCCAGTGGGTTTGTGTCCAGTGATCCCTGCCATAGCCTTTTTGGAGGTCAAAAGGGGGCCTTTCCCCAGTTGGTCCAGTGGGTGAGCTGATAGGCTCCAACCCATCTTTCCCACTGCAGATGGAGAAATGGGAATAAAGTTAATTTGTCTGTACTTTAGTTTGTTTTGGAAATTTAAGTACTGCAATAACAACAGATACAAACTATAAGGCAAACCAAGAAGGAATTCTATTGGAGCTGTAAAACTGGAGGGTGTAAAAAAATTCCCAATGAGAGTTTAAAGCCTAAATAGACAGGCCAGCACAAGATCTGGCAAATAATCTCATAAACCAGTTTTCACAGATCAGCCATCCACATGCATAGAAGCAAATGGTGCTACTTTTCAGATCTGGCCACAGGCCTGCTAAATCTGTGCTGAAAACTAGTTTATAAGGCTGTCAGCAGCAGCACCATGGCCCAAAGCTGTGGTTTAGACAGGGCTAATCATTGCCACTTTCTGGTTAATCTGCAATCCTTGGATCTGCTTCCCCAGATATTGTGCTAAAACAAGATCTAGTCTGTGCCATGGTCAGATCCAATTGCACTTCTCAAGGCAAGAATAGGTGAAGAGTTCATCCATAGCCTGCACAACCCATTGGTCACTTATCCAACCAGCAGCACTGGAGAAGGAGGCTCCACACTGCACAAAAGGAGTCTTGTGGCACTTTAACATGGGGCTGGGGCTCAGTAGAAGAGCATATGCCCTGGATGCTGACGTTTTCCCCTTTTCATCAGTGCTGAGTTGAAGGATCTCAGGTAGCAGACATTTCCAAAAGTCCCTTCATATCTGACACCCTGGAGAATCATTACTAATCCCAGCAAACATCACCAAATTGGGTGGAGAAAAAATAGCATACGGCAGTGTCATATATTACAAAAACTTGAGATTTTTGTCTCGTAGCATAAACTTTTGTGGGCTACTATCCACTCCATCTGATGCAACAGAGATATGGACAAAGTTTGCTTCAAATCTCCGCACTAGAATAAGGGATATTAATGTATTTTCAAATGCCAAAAAGTCTATAAGAATAGATGGAGATTCTGTTATTTGGTTTTGCTGGTGGCACATTTACTACGAAGTAAGCCAGTTGAACTTGGGGGAGGGCTGATTTCCAAGTTATCTCATTTATGGTTGAGCTGTAAAAGTCCCATACAGTTTATAGTAGGATGCCACCAAGATAGGATTAGGATATTTTGCTCTGCAGTGCAGTTGGCTTCAGACCAAGATGGTTATCTGCAATGGGTGAAGGCTATAAACAGCTGATCCATACAAAGTCCTACCATTATCAAAGTGGGCTATCTGCCAGGTGATCTTCAGATTCTCACCATCAAAACAATCATGAACATAGTTCTTCTATGGCTGTGTAGGGTTCTTAGGACAGGACTACAACTTTAGAGGAGAGGAGTGTGTTCCTCTGGGCAAGTGCAGAATACCTGTTCTTTACAAATGAGTCAGTCCCTCTGGGTCTGGGGTTTAGGGACAAGGTTGCCAACCACAGCTCTTAATGTAAATTGAATACACACTCATGCATGCTTTTCTCTCTTTAGATCTCTCTGCCCCCCCCTCACACACACACACACTCCCTCTTGGTTCCCTTCTGTTCTTATGCATTGCAGTGGGTAAGAAGCATACTACCCTACATGCATGTATTTGGGAGTTAGCTTAATTGCACTCCATGAGACTTACTGACTATAGGATCAGTCTGCAGGAGTGTGAGCCAGGAAGCTACAAGTTCAGATTTTTCTTCTGCCATGTATGTGGAAAGCTCTGAACATCATGCCACAGAGTGATACAGTAGTTTGATGTTAAGTAAATAAATTAATGTGTAGTCCCACTCTACTCCCATTAGGAAGTGGAGAAGACTACTTAGGAACTAAACCTGTGACACTCATGAGAAGGGCCTGTAACTCAGTAGCTTCGCATGCAGTTCCGTCTTCCACCAGCTCCAGTTAAAAGGAGCTCAGCAAGACTTCAGCCAGAAAGTCTGAAGAGCTGGTTCAATGAAAAGGTTTATATGTGGAGCCTTTCAGAACTGTGATTGGCTCCTTCCCCTGTGGCAGCCATTGTGTGCGATTTGGTATGAATGGAGGTTTCTCCTAAAATTTCAAGTGAACTCCAGTGATTCCTTCCCTTGGAGGAACTGGCAGCTATCATATCCTTGCTAAGCTCCCTCCCTTCCCCAAACTCCACCCTCCCCTTGCACTGCCACCAAATGACCAGGAACTTCCCCAGCCTGAGTTTTGGACCCTGGCCCAACCCACTGCAGCTCCCATTGTGTGATGGACCCAAACTACCCTTTCTGGAAAATCCTAAAGTTCCTACAAGTTCAAAAGAGTTGGGTAACTCTTCTTTAATGGCAAGCATCACATCTCCCAATCAGAGGACTGCAGGAAGGGTAAAGGCTGACTTCCATCAGATGGCTAATAAATTGTTTTCCCTTTCCTAAGGTATCTTATCATGACTCTGCAAGGCAGCTTCCAGGTTTCTCCCATCCTCAAAGCCCAACACCTGGATAAACTCCCTAAGGAACAACAGGACCAGGAAATAAAGACATGGAAATCAAGGACACAAGCCACGTCTACAGAAGCAACTGTTCTTAGTGATGAACTTACCCAGCCCATTGCAAATGTGAGCTTGTCGATATTTGATCGCACAGAAGCAGGAATGTCACTTTCTGGGAATGGTGGCCATGAGAACCGCTGGTCCCCAGAGCAGGATATACTCAGAAAATGGATGCCAAATACAGAAAGCAGTAGCCATACCAAAAGATGGACAGAGGAGGAGGATGGGGCTGCCAGTTTCTTTTCCACAGAAGCTTCTCTTGGGCCACGTACAGCTGCAAAACCCCTTTCTGGCTTCCTTCTCAGCAATGATGAAAGTTCTGTTCGAAGGAGCCATCGGAGATCTGTGAGTGCAGTGACCCTGTGAAGGAGCTTGAACTTTTGATTTAAAAAGGAGTGGTGCCCCTGAATATTCTTTCCTTCCTACATAGTGGGAAACTGAAGTAGAGGGGCAAACAGAATTTATATTTATATTAAATAACAGAGCCTTCTAGAAAGTGACGTGCAATATAATTTCACCAGCATATTGGAGCAATGCTTCTTCTCTTCACAGTATGACATACCTTAAGTAACCAAGTATTTACTTATTTGGAAAGAGAATTTCCACATTACTTGAAAAAAATATTACATTAGCATTCCCTAATCAATGTGAAAGAGACTTTGCTTGGAAACCAACAATGGCACAAATCTTTTCCTTTCCCCCCTCCCCAAGTTATTTTCTGTGTTCAGGCCCTAATCTTACCTTTTGCCTGACTAGCAGATAAACAGAGGTATACCTGCAATCCAGTTATGACCAATTTATTATTGTAGGAATAGGTTTTAGGAATCGCTCCACTTTGCAACATCTTAAACAAAGATGATCCCGTTTAAGGACCAAAATGAGCTCATTGCACTGAACTAACCTGGACATTTTGCAATTCATCATCCATGCCTCAAGATTTTTTAAAGAACTTTTTTTATAGTAAACTATTATAATACAGAGACAGGAGGGCCTGGTGTGATGTGGTCCATGAGGTCGCGAAGAGTTGGACTCAACTGTGTGACTGAACAACAACAACAACAACAACATTATAATACACAGCAGCTTCTGACTTCTTGCAAATCCCCATTTGGGTGATTTCGGTAACCAACCCCTGAACCTGAAACACCTCTCCTTGGATGTAGGCACTGTTGATTTCAAAGGAACTACCTTCCAAGAAGGAAAATAATGTAGGTTTAAGCCAGAGCAGATAAACTGCTACACCTGGATTTAAACCAGTTCATCTCCACTAAAGTCAATAGGACTAAAGAGGCTTAAACCCACCTGTTCTACTTTAACTGATTTTGTAGATAGTTGCCTACCTAGAAATGACTTTGCCTGGGTCAGAGGAATGAAGACCGAAATTACTATCAGAATGTGGGTTTCAATCCACTACCATTCATAAATTCAGGGTCAATCACCACATGCTGCTTCTACCTTGTGGCTTGGAACCTAGACTTCCCCGCTCTGTTTTGTCAATTAGTGCTGGGAGAGGGTAAATTTCAGGGGGGAAATGGCAGACGGGGGAAAGACAAACATCAGTTTTCTTGCCCGTCATGTTTCCCTTGCAGTTCTTCCCCACTCCCAAAGCAAATTTGCAGAGACAAGGTGGCCAGTTTTAAGACCTACAATAGAGGTGGAGTGAGCCAGTCTGCCTTAATTGGTGGTCTTGGGCAAACTGCTGGGTCAACATCAGGTGACACAGCAAGAGAGACTTATTGTGAAGATAGTTAAGATTATGTTTTGTAAAGCACTGTTCACACTACAGGAATAACTTATGAATAAAGCCAGAAATCAAAACATAGCAGTCTTTATTCCTTTTGTGGCCTAAAAATTCATTCATTCAAATTAACAGACTGCAACATTTAAGTGCCCACCATTGTTGCTGGTACAATCTATTTAGTTCAGGCACAAGATATTCAATTAATAGGAATCCCACTGAAGCCACTCATCTCCTCTTGCTTAGCACCATTTCATCACAGCAAGATACCCACAAAATTACCCATGCTTTGAGTTAGAAGTTAGAAGGAAAGTTAGAACCAGAGGACTTGCCAGGTTAGGAAAGCCAAAAGCAACCTCTTTTAGAGAAGAGATGTTTTCAACACTTCATTAACTCTCAGATCATTGGCAGAAGTAGCAAAAGCTGTTCTAAGCTGGGAATGAAGACAAAAACCATCCGTCATGTTCTGAGGAGGGATTTGAAATAGAGAGGTCCTGATGGGCACCCATTATTTTAACTATGTAAATATTTGTGCATGTATCTGTAAAGCTGAGCATTTATTAGTCTCTTGCAAAGCCACTGTTTTATCTGATGGTAGCAGCAGCACAGTTCCAGCACTTGCAAGGCCATTGTCAGAACCCATAGCCAACAACGTAGTACACGGTTATCAGGAAAGGTAATACTTTATTGAAGAGCTATAGATACATTAACATAGGCACTGTTAAGAATGGTGGCTGCCCCTGGGGCATAATAGGTTATAGGGTATTCGTATGCACACACCCCCCACTGCCCTGGCCAATTAGCCACACTCCCGCGCGTGGGAGAAGGCGCTCCGGCCGTTTGCGCTGAAGCTGGGAACCAAGCTCGCTCCCACGGTTCCCTTAGAACTAGACATCAACATTCCACCACCTGCAGAGCTTAGAGATAAGCGTTACAGCAGCGAAGAAGCACAGAAGGAATGCAAAAAGCGATTAGACAACTGCCCCCCCAACCTCCATGGCAGCATAGCTGACATACTGCCCCCTCGAAAATCAGCTCCTCCCCCCCATTCCGGGAGATCTCCCAGTCATTCCAGGAGGTCTCCTGGTCATTCCGTGAGATCTCCCGGTTTGTCTGGGAAGTCCAGATGAAACTTCCGCAACAAGTGAGGGGCCTGAATATCCCCTACTTCCACCCACTCGAGGTGCTGGGGTCCGAAATCTAACCATTCAACCAAATACATCAAATTTCCACATTCCATTAGGACAACATATTGGATACAGGGCAATTAGATACTTATAAGCAAGGGTAATCATTAAACATTGAAATGCAAAATCAAGAGACAGTTCAGCTAGCAATAATGCTGATGCTTGAAAGTGCTTTGGATAATGCTAAAGACTGAGATTCATTGCTTTTGTCCAGATAACAGAGCAAACATTGCTAGGGTTCCTCAATAATGTTTAGCCCTTGCATAAAAATAAGCCTGCATATTGGAAGGAAAAAATCAACATGCTTTCAGGGAGAAGCTTACTTGCTCCCCTCTGTTATGTCAGTCTGGTGTGCAAAAGATGAATCAGCAAAGTCTTCACAGATTTCTTTCCATGTGAAATGTACTGGGTTCAGATGCGTAGCGAGTGATCAGCTCATATTTATTAGTGGGATTCAGCTCAAACTAAAGACAAACTTTCAGGGCCAAAGCCCTGTTTAATCTGTGAAACACACCACACCCAGCACACACACCATTCCCCGTGATAGGCTATTTACACAGTGACTATCAACCATAGGCTAGGCGCAGGATCTGAGGTGGTTGATTAGCCTGTTCTAGGATCCTCGCCCGCTATTGTATTAGAACCCGAAGCTGTGCTTGTTCACCTGCCCACGTGCGAGCCCAAGCGCATGTATATTCTATATCGATACACAACACCATGTGTCACACTCAGCTTTCTTACAGGGCATGTGTCATGCACAACAATGTGAAATTCTATGGGGGGGGGGGCTAACAGTAATAGGTACTGGTGAAAGACTTGAGAACCTAAGTCTAAGAGGGCCGGTGCACATAGTGGACCTGGATTCAAATACAGGCTAAACTATGTGGGTCTCTGGGGAATCAGCTACGCAGGTGTCACAAGCAAACCATGAGGCATTTGTGATATAATGAACCTGAAATCATTGGACTTACATGTTCACTCTTCTCTTCAGACAAGGTATCAAGGTTAAAGGCTTCCTAGTCTTCAGCATGTAACCCCAATTTGTTGTGAAATCCAAATTCAAATGCTGTAACAAGCTGTTGTTTCTTGTTCACAAACTGGTGGAAGTGGAAAGTGCCATAAAGTGGCTGCAATTTATGGCGACCCCATAGGGGTTCCAAGGTAAGCGATTAATAGAGGTGGGTTGTCATTGTCTGCAGGGCCATGGGGGGGCCTGACAGGGGACATGCTGCCTCACAGAAATGTCCTGCCCTCTCAGGGATCGTGCCAGACCCCCCACATATAGCTACCATTGAGCAGAGCAATCTGGTCACAGCGTTGCTGTGTGAACAGTGACATGAATGGGGTAGCTGCTGCAGGTGGCGGGGAGGCATAGCCAGGCAGGCAAGGCCTGTGTGCTGGAAGTGAGCATGGTTGGAGCTGCCTGAGGACTTGGAGACAGGGAGGAAAAACTCAGCCAGTGGTGGGAGCAGCACGGCAACATTTTGCAGTGGCAAGCTGGGATCTCTCTCCTGAGGGACAGGAGCAGCCCAATCTGGGCAGCGAGGGAAGCCCTCTCAGGGTCACATCGCATGGAGGAAGAAGAAGCCCCTCCACAACCGCCCTCAAGAGAAGCCAGGGGGAAGGCAATGGAGGAGGAGCCACAGCCCAATGTCTAGCAGCAGCTGTCATCATGAGCACCACTTTCTTCTCCTCCTCCTTTCTTTCCTTCACCCCTCATCCCCTGTTAGCACCATTAATCCCCTCAATCCCCTGTTAACTCCCATGAGTCTACCCCCCCATCCCCCACTGGCAGGTTCAGTCACCAGGCTAAACTGTCCCCTATTCCCCCCCCCCCGAAAAATTTCTGGCTACAGGGCTCTTTGCCTGCATCTGCATAGCAAACCTGCAACTCCTTGGCATTCCCCCATCCATGTACTAACCAGAGCCACTTAGGTTCTGAGATCTGATTAGCCCAAGCCTTCCAGGTCAGGGCCACTTGCAAACTAGGGTTCCAAATTGCAGTTTAATCCTGATAGACATGAACTGTGTCCCTGGCTGTCTTTTCCCAACCCAATTTGAGAAACACATGAAACAGTCATGTAGAAAAGAAACACTAAAAAAAAAATTAATAAGGAAAGAGCACAGATAAATAAGGTTTTGGGACCCTCGGAGATCCACCAACTCTCCCAAAGTTACAATGGGTGACATAGTATTTTGAGGCAAAACGCAGCCTTGAAACTCTCCAGCCAGTCTGCGGCTTCTGCCTTCCTCCCCACTTTCGCCTGGCTATGCATCACCACCGTCCCTCCCAATTGGTCTGGGGGGGGCTGTGTCGGTGACCTCATCTCGTTGGCTTGCATGCTGAGGTAAGCAGGAGAGGGCCAGAAAGTTGCCTCCCTAACTACAGACATTCACACAGTCCCACTCCCTCCCACAGTCTCTCTCCCTCCCACCAGGAATGTCAGTGAGGGTGAATGATAAGCAGACAGCCAGATACATCTGCATAAGCTAGGGATGGCCAGGGGGAAGGGAACAGAGGTGTGAGGTACATAATACAGGTTGTTAATACTACAGGTATAGAAAACATAACAGAATGCAAACCCGAGTCTGACAAAATGACACTTAACGTGTATGTGTGTATGTGTGTATCATGGAAGTACTAAGTATACCTACTAAGTTAACCATTAGTCAGTGGCAGAGTGCAAAGTGCATAACAGTGTGCAACAATCCTGATGTAGAATCCTAGTTTGTGGGCAAAAATAAATATACTAAACCATCCAATTCAACAATCATGACAAATTGTGGTTAGACTGAAGACTTCCCAAATAAGGAATTCTTCAGTCTTGCCACAGTTTATGAAGGAAGGAGAAAGGAATTACGTAACCTTGAGGATTTTGAGGGGGACAGTAGGATTTCAAGCCCATTCATCTCACATCTCACAAACAAGATTCAGTTTGTTCTTGAGGTCTCAGGGCAGCCAATGACTCTCAAGGCCAGAGGGACACACTAAACCTCTGTATGGCACTGTGCAATCCTGGAATGCAGGGCATTATATGAATGTGACATACACTCAACAAATCATATTATTTGAAATCTGCAGCTTTAGGAAGTACCCACTGTCGATGTCTATCTTAAAT